TAAAAAAAATTATTTTTAAAAAATAAAACTATTTTTTTTTAAAAAATTAATATTTTATTCCTATGAACCCCAACTTCGGGTTCATTGATGGAGGATTACATTTCATCCGGGTTCATCACTATTCATGGTCCCACCATAAAAACAATAAAAAATACTTGTGAACCCCAAGGGGGGGTTCACTAATGTGGGTGCTCTTATACTTTTAAAATTCGATTTTCTATTTTAAATACACTTTTTCATCCCATGAGTAGAGTATAACTCCAGTTGTTGTCCAAAAAAAGAAAAACTCCAATAACTCGAGCATCATAGTACTTAATTATATTAACACTCCAGCCAACAATTAAAATACGAATCCGACCAAGTAAAAATACATATAACAAAGGAGAAACATATGGCTAACTATAGATCCCATGAGGTCCAAATTAACCAACACATACATAAAGTAGTATATCATTCTCGTTTTATCACAGTTGGGGCAGAACCACCGGTCCTCGGCGGTGGCTGATCACCTGGCATTTGCCCACCACCAGCTTGAAGAAAATCACGAGCCAGAGCTTGCAGCTCGCCGCTTCCTTCGATAGTGGACGATGACGGGACGCCGAAAACATTATCAAACGGTCGAGGTTGTTGCTGCATGGCCCATGTGGAGGACATGGGTTCGAATATGGGAGAGAGCTCGTACAGTGACGGTGTTATTGTGGGGAGGTCTGATATGGAAAGAGGCGGCGGAGATTCAGAGGAAGTAACCGGAGCTGGAGGTGGTTGTGGCAGCTCTAGAGTTGCTAAGTGTGCTTGTACATATGAAAGCTCAGTTTGCAGACTCACCACCTGTTTTTTAAAAACAAATTTCATGAAGATGTAGATGTGCTTAAAATTGATAATAATGACAAAAATAATAGAAATGAGATATATAATAAGAAACTCAAAAATGATATTTCCAGCATTAATTAATTATTACAAGATTTTCCGATATCAAACAAATGCTGATTCAGTTATGTCCAAAACACACGAAAGGCTAATCGATCAAATCAAGGCCACCGATTTAGAAAAAAATACGGTGAATAAAACAATCCTATACTAATACCAGAAACACACATCTTACTTTTATATATGAAAAAATGCTTGCTTGTGACATACAAACTATCAGTCACTAACATCAATTTATAGAAGGCAATTGCATGCGTGTATATTTATTCGAGTCACCTATACGTTTATTGCAATTGGAAAAAAGATTATCTATATTATTAAAAGTGATGCTTAGACATTAGTGTACAATAACGTGGTTGTTGCGAACAGGGAAGATGAATTTGCCATTGTCCCAATCAGTGGCTTGGATTAACTTAGCAAACAACTCTGTGGACATTAATGAAGCTGATACATATGATCAATGATTACTAATTCCTGAGTCCTAGCTAGCTAATTAACTACAACTTGAGACATTTTAGTCAGGAAGAGAGAGGGCGCATTGGATCATGTGAAATACATACATTGAGGCACATATATCTACATTTTTGTCAAAGAATAAAGACACTTTCTCACTAAACCACCATATAGTTAAAGATCAACAACTTTTTCAATCAACATACATATAACACATATAAGGCTTATAGACACGTCATTTAATATAAGACATAACTTTAGCAAAAGATCTATCAACCCAATTATAAATTTCGTTAAAAGTAAATAATTTATTTTTCTAATTTTCATGTTGATCATCTGAAAACTTTATAACAAACAAAACATACCCAAGAATAAGAAGAAAATTGGAACTAAAACAGAAGACAAAAAAAAAATAAAAAATTGGAACTAAAACAGAAGACATTTTTTCACTAGATGATTAACAGAGAGTAATTTGCATGAGGCTTGGACAGAAACGTTAAGCAGATAAAAAGAACAGAAGAAATAAATAAATGAAACAGACTAAATATTGTAATTTGAAGAATAAGTTTTTGAAGACAAAATTTTTGTCGTCACGACATAAAGACAGTAGATCGACTTAAAACTGTTGCGATTTCCCATCATAATGTGTTAATGATAATAAGGTATTAATTTAATATTGTAATAATGAATGGAATTGACTTACCTGTTGCTGAAGAGAGACGATGTGGGAGACGCAGCCGTAGATAGGATCTCGGAGACGAGCCTGAGCCTCGAAACAGATTGAGACGACTGCGTCTGCTCGTTTGTGCTCGGGAACATGCTGGAGGAGTTTCGAAACGTTGCTTGCTCCGAAAACCTTGTGAACCGCCGCGAAGTGCGCCGCTCCTTGCTCGGAGTCGAAATAGGGAGCGAATATGCAGCCTGCGACGCACTTCCGTCTCAAGAACTTGCACGCACCGCACGGTCCTCCTCCACAGCTACTGCTAGGGCTTCCGCTACTGCTCATCTTCCAATCACTTACCCCCTTTTTTGTTTTGAAGTGTAGGACAAGGTTCTTTACTTGTTAATTCGTGATTAGGGTTTTGAGATATATGGAGCTATGTTTCATCCGGATTAGGATGTGTTTTTGGTTCGTGGTTAGCAGAGAAAGAAATAAAAGGTAAACGTTTTGGAGAGAAGAAAGGGGGAGATGGAAAGGGGTCGGACGTAAACAAAACTAGGGTTTGGCTGGTTCTAATTGGAATATTATTATTTCCCCCACCAGTACATTAATTGTATATAGCATTTAGTAGATAAAAAGAAGACATATGCTGTCAAAAATATATATTCAATTAATTAGTTTTGATATTACAAAAAAAATAGTTAATTAAGACAAGAGGATTATAAAATCCTTCAAAGCAACGCGATGTAGCGTACTTGTCTCGTGTTAGGCTCTTTGCGTGAAGCAAAACATTCCATATCTCTCAACTTCTTCATTGTTATAATATTCCCTTCATTTTTCTACTTATGGTTTAAATTTTATTCTTTACATATATGTATTGATGCACATTCAATCTAACACAATTAGATATTGGTTGCAAAGCATTATTAATATAAAAATAAGCTTTAAGTTCATCTACTTAAGATTTACCAAAAAAAAAAGTATCTCCTTAATGAACTTTTTCGATGATGTTATGTAACGGCTCGACGCTACGCGTTAGATTTTTCTTGCTAAACGTCATTAATATTTCTCAACGTGTTCAAAAGTTTTGACAAAATTTTCCCCCCGTCAGATCCTTAGGAAAATACAGTTATTTATTTATTAATTTCATCGTTTATCATTCAAACATGCACATCATATAAATTTAAGTTCCGTACTACTACAAACCAAAACCAGTTTTACAAAGTCAATATATTAGTACTTTAGAACATGTTTATCCGTTTCTTAGGTTTTTTTTTTTTTGTCTAAACAAAAATTAAAAAGCAAACCAATCACGGATCACTACGTGTAAGTGGAGTCCACGAACAGTGTAAGAAATTCACTAAATACATTTTTAATTAGTAGCTTTTGTAACCGATCCTTAAGGGTTTTGTGGGGGCTTATGCAATAAGAACCCCACTAAAAACCCCGTATAAACATGTTTTTTCTTTCATTTTTTTCAGTAGGTTTTACACCAGCAAAGACCCTAGCCGTCACAAGAAAAAAAAGAAAGTTTTTTTTCCTAGTTTCAAGTTGATGGTCGGAGACTTTTATAATTTCGACATCGACTTGTTTAGTTCGTTTTGCTTTTATCTCTTTGATTTACTTTCTTTCTGGTTATTTGATTTGTTTGTCAATTTATTTTAAATTTGACAAAGTTTTCAATTGTTCGAATGGATTTGGAAAAACAAAAACTTCAGTTAAATTGAATCGTTTAGAAAAGTTAATTGACAGATCTACAACAAATAGTGACAACAGATCCTACCAGCTTCAGTCGTTGATGGTTTTTCACTTGATGTTGATGGAGTTCTTGCTGTAAACTATGGTTACTTCGAAAGTCAGCAGAAAATTCTATGGAATGGTAATCTCTTTGACTCTGTTATTATCAGAGCAATATAAAGAGTTATTTTCTCTCATTGGCTCCTACTGGAGTAATAAAAAGAGAGTAGTAATTCTTCTCAACTAAATCTGAAGCGTGGTGTTTTTGGATTAAAATGAAGATTATCTCTTTTATGATTCAACTATTCTAGAAACAAATTTGGAACTTTTACATGAAAATCTTTAGTTATCCATATACAAAGATGTGTTAGTTTACTTTGAATCCCTATTAGTGTATCTATTTTCTATGTTTGTTTTGCTAGTTTTTCTTTATTAATTTTTTTTATCTAAATGACTTAATAATTAAGGGCAATTTAGCTGAAAAACTATGAAAGATTACAATATTAGCAGATTACCAAAGAGACGAAAGTGGTTGTTTACGTGGCATATGAAAAGGTGATAGAAAGACAAAAATACCCTTCTCGTTGGACTTCTTGCCTTCCCGGTTTTGAACTTCGGGTAGTTGTGTCTGACACAAAATCATCACTAGATTTGGCAAGATAAGAATGAGATCTCGTTTACATTGGCTATGAAAAAAATGTGGAGCTTTTGATATGTTTCTCTCTTCTTTTAAATCTCTGTGTTAATCAATGAGCGAGATTTATCATTCAAAATCTTGGCATGTTAAACACTTTGAAACAATAAACCACAAGAAAAATATTTATTTTTTTGTTATTTTGAAATTGTGGGCTATATGTGTAAAAGAATATTAGCAGAACAATAGTTTTGGTGCAGCATGTACAATATATATTAGCCAGACAACTGTTTTGAAAATTTGGTTGTGTAGTGGTCTTCATTCTTTAGCTAGCCAATTAAAATAAATATCTGTAATTTAGTGAAATATATGGTTATACAATTTAGAATACAAGCACGGGTTAATAACATGGTCCAAACAATAAGGTCCGCCAACAATAATTAGATGTAGAATATTTACAAAATTAACCGGCTAATCTAATAAGTTACTGTATTTGATGTATCTTAGCTGGTTAATCTAATAAATCTATATATCCGATGTTTTCTAATCGGCTAATCTAAATTGTATAAATCAGTTATCAAATGTCCAGTTTTCCTTGTGAATGGTTACCATATTTTTTAGATGGTTAACGCATTTAATGAACATCTAACTAATATATTAGCTATAAATTATCATATCCCTACGTTCAATAGTTTTAACCATAAAACTAAGCTCCTATTCCAACAGTCTATGATATAAGATTCTTGCTAATTTTGTAGTTGGATGTGTAACTTGTTTGATAGCTTGTTAATGGTAATGAGAAATTCAATTGTTAGTTATCCGAAATTTATTGTTATAGTATACTAATTTTTCTGACTATCTTTTAAATAGAGTTTACGGTTAACAGTTTTGCGAACTGGTAATAAATTTAATTATCCATCCAAACAAAGACGTTGCATGTTCCTCGATTTGGCTTGGCTTTGGCGGGATTCTCAAGGAAAGATCTTTTCAGAGTAGACTCTTCATCAAACAAACGAAATCATATTTGCTTTTTCACTGATAGCAGACACATAAACAGTTGTTATAAGATGCATGTCACCAAGTCCTTTGGAGAATGAGTAACACGTTAGATTTCGTTTACTTGTGGTACAAAGGGATTTTGACGCCAGTGGATTCTTCTCTGACGGCGAAAATCTCTCGGAGAGTGGACATGGTGGCCTCCGCAAACCATCGTTCTCATCTATACGCTGATTGAGTTTAACTAAATTTAATTGGGGAACGAGAGAAACAATGAACTTTTGGTTGATATATGAAACTATCTTCTTCTTTTTAAAGTTGTTTGGTTTCTTTGTTCACTGTGCCAAAAGTACTGACAAAAAAGATATGGTATATCTTGTGTATCTAACTCTTCTCTCTCTTCGATTCTATTGTCTACTCGTAATTCTCATTGGTCAGGTGATAGGTTTAATTAGAAAAGGGTAGCAGAGTAAATAAGCAGTATGAATAGTCGATGATTTTTATGTTTTTGGTGTTTTACAAATTATGATAAAGTTTTTTGATAGGGAAGTAAATTTCTCAATAATTAATAATACAATCAAGCGTTAAAAAATAGAGAAGGAGAGAGTATGTATTTTCCCAAACAATTAGATTTATATAGGATCCCGATATGCTCATCAACCTTAAATATTAGATACAATGAACGGGATAAACTTGACGTGTCCTCAATCTATATTTTGGTTACTCGATATTCGATTAGGATACAAAAAAGGAAAATTCTATTAACGTACTGTATTTAATGCGTGTTTAAAAAACTTGTAAATTTGCAAGATCTGAGGAATATCCTCACCAATCATTTCTAAATACTACGCTATACCAAACAATTTAAGAATGGTATTTTGCATTTAATTTTTCGTATTTTTAAGGTTTCTGTTCATTCACTTGCTGAAACGAGGAGTTATACTGAATCTATAAAAAGTAAAACATTTGTTTGAAATACATTAAGGAGTTATTGGTAGTTGATTTTTGACTATGTTAAATGGAAACAAATGGATACGCGGAAGCGGAAGCGGAATCCTATGGAAACGTAGAAGTGAAATTGTTTTAAAAAATTTGGAAGCGTATATGTATATATATATATATATATATATATATATATATTAAAATATAAAAAATATGATTAGAAATTATTTGATTTAGATTAAAAATAATACATTTATTCATTTATAATAATTTTAAATGATTTTATGTTAAAACCGTGAAAATATACATAAATTAAGTTTATAAGATATTATTATACTAATTATTTTTTAATCTTTTGTAAATAATTAACACAGTCTATTTGAATATATATAATACATCTCTAATAAATCCTCAATGCATAAAGATAATTTGAATATTAGTTTTAATATTTTTTATATTTTTATTCTCTATTTCACTATTATATAAAAACAAAAATAATGTTTCTTATATTTTTATTTACTTATGACATTGTATCTTTTAAAAGAAAAACATGATTCAAAAAACGGAAACGTAAGCTTCCAACCTGTTTTTAAAGATGTATTTTCGGAAGCGCATTGGAATCGTGATTCTGAAAGATTCCACAAGCTTCCGTTTTTTATTGTGGTTTCGAAGTGGGAAGCGGACATATGACGAAGCTTCCTTGCAACCTAGATTTTTGAACAGTGACAAAGCCATAAACATTTTATACAGAGGTCAGAAAAAAATTTAGTGAGTACAAGTTTTTATTTTTAGTGGAGTCAATACAATTTTTCTTAAACAAAAATAAATATTTTAGAAAAATTTCTTAAGAATTTTTTTTTCTTTTAAATAGTGAGGTTAGCTGACTCCAATTGTACCCACCGCCTCCGCTCCTGTTTTTTAAGGAATTATAAAATTGAAAAATTTCCTTGTTATTGATTTATATATTGTTAAAAATCTTTTTTAGAATCATTTATCATTGGTTTATGCACTTTTAAATTTCATGCAAAATTCTTTGTTATTCAAAAAGTTTGATTTTTGTTGACTTTGTAATTCTATTAAATTCTGTTGTTATTGAGACATAAATTCTTTTTAGTTTTATTCGTAACAATTTATTCCACAAATATCATATATACTCATAAGATTCTTAAAATCTATGTAACAAAAACACAAATACACAAACACAATTTTTTTTTTTACATTTTTATTGTCAAGTGTTGAAAAGAGAAAATCAAAGATAGAAATTACTAAGAAAATAACATTTTTTGAAAAAAATAAATCTTTCATGAAATATTACTTTATGGGTTGATCTTAAAAAAACTTTATAACAAAATCAAACAAGAAAAACCAAAATATCAAAATATTAAAAAACCAAAAAAAAAATATCAAATAGTTATATTTCATGAAAGAATTTTTTTTTAATAAAATATTAGAAAGATAAATTTGGAAAGAAAAGTATATATGGAAATATATAATAATCAATAATAATCAATGATAATTTATACAATACATTGGAAAAGAATTCATCAAATTTACTTAACTTTTAAAAATCTATCAACTCTTAAAATTTTCAAACTCCACACAAATTCTATATCCAATAGACTCCCCTAAGTTGAATATTACTTTTCAAATATACTCTTGATCAAAATTACTTTAACATTTGGATTTGGTTTAATAATTATTATTTAAAACTAAGTATTAGAGAATAGAGTTGAATTTATAAACTTGTATAAATGATTATTAAATATTTATAAATTATTTATGAGAGTTTAAAAAAATTATAATAAACTTAAGATATTTATTAAAATAGGTATCATTTATATGTAAATATGAAAATAAAATCGATTTTGAAGTAAAATTAGAATTCACCCAAAAACTTACTTATTGATTCGTGTAATCTTTTCTTAATTGAATTTATGAAAATTGTTGATAGAAGATGACGTAAATATAGTAAGCAGAAAGTGTGTGCGCGTATGTTTAATATCGTGTGTGAAGATTACGAGGGTTGAAATTGAATCACCAGTTGTAGCAGGGGAGTCCAGCTAAATCCTCACACTTCCGACTAAAGGAAGAGAATTCTTTTTTCTTTCTTTTTTTTAAGTCTTGGTCTGAACCAAATATAAGTTGGTTAAGAAGAACCGGTTTATCGACATTAAAAAAAGAAAAAAAAGCAAACGGAACTTGGAAGAACAGGGAAGACAGGCACGTCGCCGCGTGTCAACTATGACTTTATGAACGTAACGGCTCTGTTCAAACTTTTGTTGACGCAAGCAAAATCACGCGTGAGTCTCACTTTGCGAGTCCTAATGCAATGTACAAAAGTAACGCTCCAATTTGATTCTATTTGTTTATTTACTAGTCTGGAATTCAGATCATCGAAGATGAAAATATGAAAGATAATAGATACCATCAAAATATCATCGAAGAGTAACATAACATGTTAACAAAAGAAAAAAAAGAGCAAACAGTCGTAAACAGAAAACGTCGCCGTCCCGTCCGCCTCTTGTCTAATCCTTCTTCTACTGCGTGACCAAGCAACACTGACATAAACTCATCCTAGGCGACACGTGTCCTCGTATCAAGCCCTGAGTCTACTCCTCTCCTCATCGCTTTGCGTACGCTTATTAATTACACACTATTCTCTTCTTTTCTTTTTTTTTTTTGTATCAAATAATAAATCACTTGATTACTAGGTACAATCCCTTATATATTAAATGAGAAACATTTACAAAATTGTAACCTCAATTTTGTAATAATTAAAAAAGATCTCATGCTTAGATGTCACTCAATTAGGTAGTCAATTATATTCAATTTAAAAATAAGTAGCTCCACATTCGATTTTTATATGTCGCTAGATACATTCGTTGGTCAAATTATATGATATGATGATATGATATGATGTTTATGATAGAAACATTTATGATTGTTCTCATAGATTTAATTACTATTTTATTTTCTTTCCATAAATAAAACCTACGTAATTACCATAAATGACTAATATATATATATGACACTTAATGATTCTAATAATAAATATTTGACAACAGTTTATATATCCTCCATCATTTTTCTTTAATTTTATATTATTAAAATAAATTAAACAATCAAATTAGCTATAAAATTAAACTTTAGATTTTAACTTTTAAAAAATTGTAATCTCAATTTTGTAATAATTAAAAAGACCTCATGCTTAGGTGTCACTCAATTAGGTAGTCAATTACATTTTGAAAAATAAGTAGGTCTACATTCGATTTTTATATGTCGCTAGATACATTCGTTAGTCAAATTATATGATATGATGATATGATATGATTTGATATTTATGACAGAAACATTTATGATTGTTCCCATAGATATAATTACTATTTTCTTTTCTTTCCATAAATAAAACGTAAGGAATTACCATAAATGACTAATATATATATGACACTTCATGATTTTAATAATAAATATTTAATAACAGTTTATATATCCTCCATTATTTTTCTTTAATTTTATATTATTAAAATAAATTAAAAAATTAAATTAGCTATAAAATTAAACTTTAGATTTTTTCGTATAGGTTATATTTTGAATTGAAAAAAATGAGAATAAATAACTAAACTATTAAAATTATTATGTTAAAAATTAATGATCAATAGTTTAACATTTTTATTATAAAAAATATACATGATTTTAAAACCATATAAGTAAAAAGTATCATTCAATAATAAAACAAATATATATACAGATTAAACTTTATACCATATAAGATTACATAAATATTTTAATTTCAAAATTTTCAATAAATTTTCAAGAACATTTATAAATTATGAACTTATTAAATTTCTCACACGGAAAATTTTTGTTATCAATGATTTAAATATCTTAGTTCTTTTTTAATTTTATATTTTTAAAAGATATACAATCGATAATATGGTTATTTTTGGTATATACCATACAAACTGAATGGATGTGATTTTATAAAAATCACAGGATTTGGATATGGTTTGATTTATAACCGATTAAACTGAAACATGTAAATATGTATATATTTATAACAACGCATGAATATCTATTTGTTACATGAGTTGAACTATAATTATAATTTGTAAATAGCTAACAATTTATTACAACTGGGACTTCTTAATTTGATCTTTTGCTCTTTTAACAGTAACTAAATTGAAGTAAAGATTATAAATTTGATGGACAACAATTAGTTGAAATTCTTTACAACTGTTTTTTATCTTTAAACAAACAGAGTTGTGTTCAATCGAAGACATATTGGTTTGATGAACACTAAATATGGAAAAATTTAAAAACTTTTCTTTCATGCTTCTGTTTTGTTTTTTTTTTATTTTTATTTTCAAAATTTAGTTTTTTGCTATTAATTCTAGATTTGATCATTTTATTAGATGATAGAAGCCTTTTTGTTTTTTATTCTTTTATTTAAATATATAATATTTTTTGAATAAATGACTCTGTGACAATATAACTCTAAATATGATCATATTATATATTTGTATAATATATAATATGATCTCAAACTAAATAATTATGTTTTTGGTATAAAATTGATTAAACTGAAAACCGATGGTATATTAACCAAATCAAACTGAAGTACATATAGATTTAGAATAGTAGTTATATTTTAATAATAGAAATACCAAAAAATCGAGCCAAACCGAAACCCGATATCCGGATTGAACACCTGTAATACGAATGAAACCGAACTATTGTTCATTTTTCAAAACATAATAAAAATAATAGCTTCATCCCGCGCAAGGCACGGGTCTTATCCTAGTGCATTCATTACAAGGGAAACAACTGACAACTACTATAATTTTGTTAACGTTGGCTAATTACAAAGGTTTTATGATTATAAAAATGTCGTCTTAGGGCACGGCCCATTAACTTTTCTTGAAACCCAATATAAGGCCCGAATTTGGCCATTTGATTTGAGTCAGCATCTTGTCAAACAGAGACATGATGACAGTGACTGACTGAGGTTGTACTTGCGGCGAAGCAAACAGTTGATCAGTGTCTTGTCAGTGTCCGACTCTACGATTTGTTCAAATACGAAGCAATAGCAATCTTTCTCTCTCTACTCTATTATTATTGTTAGTTTATTACCAACTAGTAACTAGCTTCAAAGATGTTACTATACTTTTTTATATATCTATATGATTGTGGCCGAGAATAAATGAATGAATATACACGTGTGGTGAGGGTTGCACGTGTGAATGAAAGTAAACTCCTGCGGCGGTTGGGGAGAGTGAGAGAGTGGATACGTCAACAACAGTAGATGAGAATGAGTGTGCTTGCTTCACGCAAAGCTCTTTCTCTTTGTCCTTTGTTTATTTCATTTACAAAATGCACATTCGCTTTGCCGTTGCTTCCAAGCTTAAGCCATTTTACATTCATCCTCACTAGTACTGTTTACTCGAATAATAAACGCCACAACATCATATCATCAGCGTCTCGTTAAAACTGTAACCCAAACTAATTCCCTAGTTTATATGCCAACCTGTGCTAGTTATAGAATTCTAGCTAGTTTTTTATAACAAGATTGATAATTTGTTGGAAATATGTGGGGTAGTTGTTAATTTATCTTTAAATAGTTTAAAGTTTATGTATACTTATTTATTTTAAAAACTTTATTTCTGCATCTACAATAGCTTTTTGTAACTTTGATTGATTTTGATTTTAGTGATTCCAAATTTTTTGATTAGTGTGTATATAGAAATTGGCAGTCACAAAAAAAAAAAATATATGCACACGAAGAAAATATGAAATCAAAAATGTAATGATTATTAATGACCCACCACCAAAAGCAAGACATGATTTTCTTGCCTGACACGATCCTCTATGCTCTACATTAACTAAAAAAAAAACATTAGTTCATAAACTAACACATCACTTTCTATCTCTTTCTTTGAATATATAATTGGTCGACGACTACACTATTTCACCTTATCTATATCCAAGCAAAGCATTACGTCTGTTTGGAAAATATGAGCGGAAGCACCACTAGTCCATGCGGCGCATGCAAGTTTCTCCGGCGTAAATGCGTGGCGGAATGCGTCTTCGCTCCCTACTTTGACGCAGAGGAAGGGACGGCTCATTTCGCGGCGGTGCACAAGGTTTTTGGGGCCAGCAACGCCTCTAAGCTCCTCTTGATGATCCCAGCCAACCGTAGACTTGAAGCCGTCGTCACGCTTTCTTACGAGGCTTTGTCTAGGCTTCGCGATCCCGTCTTCGGATGCGTTGGTCACATCTTCGCCCTTCAACACCAGGTATTCAGTAACCTAACGTTTTTCTGATTTTTATTTATATTCATATATACGTCTATACATATGTTTAGCTTTGATGATTTTTTTCAAAGATTTAGAGAGAGGCATGAACGCATGCATGTGTTCACTCTAAAGAAACTCATCATTTAACGTCACGTTTGACATCATTCATGACGAGATTATATATATCATCATGAATGATCAGCATAGCTTGCAACATCTTTTAGACGCATACCTTGACCAACCTGTTATTTTATTACAGCTCCGTCGTGGTTTCCTGTTTTTATTTTTTTGAAAATTGCACATATTAAATTTAATTTTTTTTTTTTTTTGCTAAAATATTAAATTTAATTTTCAATTGGTTAGGAAGGGTCATTGGGGGTCGAAGTTACAAAATTTAGATGACAAATTGAAAACAAGCTAACATGTGTCTTTCCCAAGGGCTCGTCTGTCGAAAACCCGAATAATGGAAAGTCAAAGTGTCAATCTTTGTGGTTTACCTTCTGAGTTGTTTTCTTTAACACTAGTAGTTTTGTACTTATAACATCCCGTTGTACAAACCAGTTTGAAATTTTTTTGCTATAACAAATCATTAAATTTAATTCATAGATGGTACTATGGTAGTATAATTTAACCCTATTATCTTTTTGTACACCATGAAATGTAGTAAAGTGATGATGCTATACAATTAATTACCACTTGACTAATATTATTTTGAGTATATGCAAAGGATAAAAAAATATCAACTTTATATGATTAAAAATACGTGAACAGGTCATGAATCTCCAGGAGGAGCTAGCCGTCGTCCAAACTCATCTCTCAACCCTTCAGCGCCTCCCTCCACAGCATAAACAACAAAACAATCCACAGACAGAAACATCCTCTTCAACCAAAGCTCCTCTCACAGCTACTGTCGATAATAAGACCAACAACGTATCTTCCTCTTTGTTACACATGAATGCTATGTCCCAAGAACAACAGCCACAAGAAAATAGTGAGGTCCCAATAGAGTCAGTGGATTTTAGCACATTATTGGGCCTAGAAGATCCGTTGGACAGGGACGGTGATCTTAACACGCTTGCCCGTGAGTTTGTCTCTAAGTATTTGACCGAAGGCAGATACCGACCATCTTCTCCAATATAACTAACTATTATATATGTTAACTTCAGACGTCTTTGTTTATTTTGTACTGACCGGACTGCCGAGTAACTCAAATCATCTTTTAATAATTTCTATCGGATTCGCAGCGCAACTATCATCTCTCACTCATGACGTCAACGTGCGTGGCATCCATGTCTCACTGTATATGATTGATTTATAACGCGCAGAAATCTTATGTGTGTCGGATTATGAACTTTTGTATTTAGAGTGCCAAGTGCGATGTAGGTAACAGAGGCCTGAAATATTAAAGCCCAACCCATTTGTCTTAACGGCAATGTTGTTAAATTTATGTTATTTGCATGCATCATTCCTTTTGCATTGGGGAGCTCAATAGTTTCTTTCTATGGAGTGAAATTCCTTGGGAAATAAACAATACATATGAGTATTGTGAGATAAAAGAATCATTAGCGTCAATCTCTTGCCTTCTTAGCTAGTAATACTATAGTATTGGAGTAATTAATAAAGAAAATCATGAAGGTGGCCTCGAGACCTCGAAAAAATTAACCAGAAATCAGGAGTATGTTGACACGTAATGATAATCCAAAAGTTTTTCATGTGCCGTGATCTTATTGAGATACGAATAAATTTTTTATTTAATAAAGAAAATGTTACTTAAAGTTGTTAGTTAAATAAAATATATCTCCCTGCAAGTAAAAGCAATATAGGACTTGACCGGTTAACCCTACTGGAGCTTTCTTTTCCTGATATTTGATTTAAATTCGCTGATAAATTTTCGTACCAAACACGTAATTCCAATCAAAACAAGTTAAAGCAGAACTAATCACTGCTATTATTTGAATGGGAAAATTCCATATAAATATCCTAACTAAATTGTATTAAGTTTTTAAATACTCAAACTTTTTCGCTACCCAGTTTAATATCCCAACTAATTATTTTATCCATTTTAATGCATAAAATTTTATAAATTTGCCCATTTTAATACCCAAATTTTGTTTATTTTAATTAACAATACGAATAAATTTTCAATAAAACTTTTAAAATTTGTAAACTTTACAAAAAAAAATTGATTTTATTATATGTTATGGAAATGAAATTAAATAAATTTTTGATAATCTTAAGTTTTGTAATAAGTTTTTTAAGTTTTATATATTGAATTTAGTTTGTTTTCTGAAATAAAAAAAGTAAATTATTTTTTTTCCTTCAAAATTATTTTTTTTAAACATTTAAATTTTCTCCAGAGTTTATTTACCTTATTTCTTAAATCTTAGAGTAAATTTAGAAATTTTAAATATTTTTTCTTAGATTTTGGAGATTTTTAAAAATTTTGTTTGAAACTTATTAGTATTGTTAATTAAAATAAACAAAGTTTGGGTATTAAAGTGGGCACAATTATAAAGGTTTGTATATTAAAGTGGGAAAAATTATTACTTAAAGTATTAAATTGGATAATGAAAAAGTTTAGGTATTAAAAAGCTTAATAAAATTTAGTTAGGGTATTTATATGGAATTTTCCCTATTTGAATATATACACAATGAAAGTGGCGAAGGTATCATAAACGTCAGAAAAAAGCATTACACGCATTTTCGTATATAGAAAAGAAACAGAAGGCAGCAGGACAAGTGGACAAAGTCAAACGTGTTATAAAGTATTATGTGGATGAGCCATAACCATAGACCTTAAGGCCCACGTGCCTAGGTTACTCAAGACCAAGAAGATAGAGGCCCAATGACTTAGACATAGGCGGCCATATGTAGTTTCCATTCTTATGTATTTCCAATTCCTTGTTGCTTTAGGAATTGGATGTTTTCCATTTATCTTCTTCTTGTAATCCTTATATAAAGGAACCTTATTCATTCAGTAGTAATACACAGAGAATTCCCCATTACTTCTCTCATTCTCCTCTTTCTTCATAACANAGAGGCCCAATGACTTAGACATAGGCGGCCATATGTAGTTTCCATTCTTATGTATTTCCAATTCCTTGTTGCTTTAGGAATTGGATGTTTTCCATTTATCTTCTTCTTGTAATCCTTATATAAAGGAACCTTATTCATTCAGTAGTAATACACAGAGAATTCCCCATTACTTCTCTCATTCTCCTCTTTCTTCATAACACGTTATCAGCACGAGTCTCACCAGAGCTAAGAAGCCAACCACCAAAATCCGTATCTCTCTCTCTCTAGACGGCAGCAGCAAAACCCTAATTCCAGGCGCCATCTTCAAAGCGACGTATCTCCCCAACCGTGTGTACCCAGAAGACGAGTCACATATCAAATTCAAGCTCTCAACGAGAAGAAGCTACCAGTCCAAAGAACGTCTCAATCCGATACCAGACGCGTTCTCTAGCTCAGAAACAAGCCGACGGATGAATTTCCTTTTCTCCTACCCGAGAAACCCTAATTCCGGCTCAACTTCAAACCGATGTATCTCTCAAACCATGTGGTCCCAGACGACGATCTACATATGCAATTGAAGCTTTTGAAGAGAAGAATCCACCAGTTCAAAAAGCGTGTCAATCCGACATCAGATGCGCCCTCAATCACCAAAACAATCCGGAGGGTGAAAGATATAGCTTAAGCTACAAGCCGCCACAAGTCTCAAGATCAACAAACCCTACCACGGCTAACTCCTTCTCTCTCTCTCTATCTATGTGAATTCATATTATCTTATTAACTTATGATATTCATGTTATCTAATAATTTTTGTGTAATGTTTCATGAGCTGAGAGAAGCCCTAGCACGTGGAGAAGCAACCACCAGCCGCCTTGATCGAGAAACCTAACAGGCGGCAACTCCTCTCTCTCTCTAAAGGTGGTCCGGTTTACTAATCTTCAAACAATGGTATATCTATAAACCTTAATTGATAGAAACCAATAGGTATGGAATCAATAGAGCTATGATAGGATATCTGATAGATTGATTGATTGTTTGAACACATAGAACCGGATGATAGGATTTAAAATTTGGTTGAACCATAAAACCCTAATCTTTAAACCGGTTTGATTGATTGTTCTTGTTTGATTGAATGATTGATGATCTGAGGTTTTAAGATTGAATCTGAATATCCAAAGGGCCTTGAAACCCTAACTACCACAATTAATAAAATCAGGGGGAGAATTGATAAAAAGTTTTGAAATTGATTTTAAGAATTGATAAGGTTAGATGTGTTTTATTATGGATGTTTAAAACTGATCATAAGGGCCTTGAAACCCTAGTTCGTTTTGTGATTTAAAGACTGATCAGAATTGAATTAAGATTGTTGAATAGAATTGCATTGCATGGTCGAATGAATTTGAGTGCATTTATCTTGTTTAATAAAACCGACCAGCATGTAGATTCAATTATGTCATTCTCACCCATTCCGACCAATGCTGAACCATATGAGTTTTGAGTGACCATAATGGTGTGTTTTGTTTGTCTTCACAATGGTCATTGTAGTTACAAGTATGGTTTGGTTTGTGGTTGTAATGTAGTCAAGAGAATCACAATGTGTGTAAAACCCTAATTGTGTGGTTATGTGATTCTGATGTTGAAACTTGCAAACCTTGACTACACCTGCTCTCAATCTCTCTTGAGATAATAACCTGCAGTGGGCTCTTGATATTAAGATCACTTTGAGGTCTATGGGGTTTTGGTGATATGATTACCAAAGGCAACAATGAGACTGAAAAGAATCAGTATGGTAGATCCACTAGAGCTTTGAACTGCTTTACAGCAGAGATCACCATAAAACGGTGTTACTACCAAAGGCTACAAGACTAGAGGTCTGTGGATGGAAAGGACGTGGTGGTCTTGGCAATTATAGCTCGTACGACCGTGGACAAGGGAACCACAATAACCGTGGTCGTGGTCCCAGTCATGGCCGTAGGCGAGACGCGGCTACAGCCGTGGTCGAGGCAGCATCTCTAAGCTGTCTTACTCGACCAATCAGCCGACCAAATAACTAGGGAAAGAGTTTTCACCACTTATACTGATTTAA